AATGTCATGAGTAATGTAATCAACCTTTTATTCCTTTATGTTAACTAAGCAACTTATATATACATTTTTAAAATGCTTAATAACTTTAAAAATAAATACAGGCGCATTCAATATGCGACTATTTTCTAGCGGGGTGAAATGTGGATAAGTGCAGCGTGCCTTGCCTTCTGTTCAGCACCGACAGCTGGACGAGGACTTGAACCGGAGTCGTCGAAAGCCACCGTCGTGTCCTGCACCACTGGACCACGACGGCTTCGACGACAGCAGGCCGTTGGTGACTTTTACTCTTGGCGAGACACGGCCGGTGCCCCGCGGCTCGAGACGTCCGATTGTCGGGGATGGACGGACAAGGAGCGGCGGTTGCGGGCAGGTCAGCGCCGGCCGAGAGGATTCGCCGTGGATTCGTTCACCTGAGATCCGGGGTTCGAATCTCGCAAGGAGAAATGCATTTGCGTTCAACGTACAGTACCGCACTCACCAATGAATGCTGCGCTATGCGCGTCACCAAGCCAAACCAATTATTGCTGCACAGTGTGTGACACTAACCCTAAATAAACGTCATGAGAAAATGTGCCACCCGTTCTTTCCTGCGTGTAAACTCACCGACTTTCTTAACCGTCGGTCACTCATGTTGGCGTTTTTTCATGTACACAAATGCTTTATATTTTTGGAGGTTAAAAACAAGAAACGCCAGAACGCCCCACGAATAAGAACAGCTGGTCCTCCCTCGTGTTTGGTTCGAATTGGCTTGGAAAATAATGACCATCGCCCAGTGTGGCAGTCGGAAGAACTCGAAGCGGGATTTTTCCGAATCCCGGGACGTGCCGGACAATAACGGGACCCCAACGCAGACGGCGAACCTCGGGTAGCGAGTTCATCCATTCATTCGCCGATCCGTCCGCTTTATCCTCACGTGGGTCGCCGGAGCCTATCCCGGCCGTCTTCGGGCGAGAGGCGGGGGACACCCTGAACCGTTTGCCAGCCCGTCGCAGGTCTGAAAGCACACAGACATGACCGTCATTCCGCGCTCACACCTCGGGACAATTTGGAGTGTTCGATTCACCTGCCGTGCATTTTTTTTTTGGGGGGGGTGGGG